ACTAGTCATACCTGAGCTTTCAATGAGTGGTAATCACTGATCACAGATCACCATAACAAATACAATAAAAATGAAGAAGTTTGAAATATTGTCAGAATTACCAAAATGTGACACAGAGATATAAAGTGAGCAAATGCTCTTAGAAAAATGGCACTGAAAGAATTACTCAATGCAGGGTTGTCACAAACCTTCAATTTGTAAAAATCCCACATTTCTCCCTTGTTATTATTATTATTATTTTTAATAAAATGCAGAAGTGGTAGGTAGATGCAAGACAAAGGTAGAAAACATAGTTTAGTGCTGTAAGAGAGCAAATTTAGATGATCAGGTGTGTGCCTGTAGACTAAGTGTTAATCCAAGCTAGACAAGGGCAATAAAACATCCACGGATGCAGAAGATTTCTCTCAAAACAGGGGGGGTGAGGTTCTAAGCCTCACCTCTGTTGATCNCCTATGGACTAAGTATTAATCCAGGCTAGACAAGGGCAGCAAGACATCCACGGATGCAGAAGATTTCTCTCAAAGCAGGGGGGGTGAGGTTCTGAGCCTCACCTCTGTTGATCCCCAAATTCTCACCTGATGGCCCCCCTGCGACTGTGCCTGTCTTAGGTTGTTCCTCCCTTGAGGAATCTTACCCGTCTCTGGCTAACCAGTCATCTTCCGGGGCCATACAGGGAAATGTAAAGTTGGTAAGTGAGAGAGAAGCCATATTGTTTGAAAAGGTTAGCTTTTTACTTCTTTGCAGATTTATGCCCTGTGGCTTTTATGCCCAGTATTTGTCTTGAGGTATCTTCACCACCTGGAAGAATTATGATACTTGGTAAATTCGATATGAGGCACGAACTCTATTTAAGGGTTGTAATTAGGAAGGAAGAAGAAAAGTTATAGGAGTAGCAGACGAAAGATAACATGGGAAGATTGATTATTTCTTTGACATATCTTCTGGTAGAGTAACTTAAGCATGTATAGGTTTTAAACTAATTAAATTGCGCACACATATTAACATAATAGGAATACAGTTACATAACCAAAGCAGACCTACAATTACCAGCCATCTCCAGTGAAACCAAGAAAACCAGTTAGGCACCTTAGGCATTTGTGAAAACTTATCTATGATATGATGGATATTGTCCAACTGAACTTGAACAGTCTGAGAGAAATCAGACAAATTAAAACAACCCATTCCTGGAGACTGAAAAAACTAAGTTTTATAAGCTAAACAGGACTAATTTTTGGTAATATAAGCACAACTGTTTTTTTTTTATGGACTTTTAAAAACAATCACTTAGCAGAATCAAATACTATTTATTTGGTAATTATCAGGCATTTTCTTCAGCTGCATATACTTCCTAAAATTAAATGATATTCATTTTTTCTAGGAAAACAGGCTTTCTTCTCCCTTATCATGTAAACTATTTTAGTTTAAAATTACATACAATTAGTTTCCAAAATTTTATATGCACAAGTGAATCAAATGACAATGTACTTTCTGACCAGTATTTATTTCTATATTAGTAAAACTCTTTGCTCAGTGTAGAGAGATCTAGCTTATTTCTTAGAACAGCTACATGAGTCTTACTACCTCAGGCTAATAAAAAAAAGCATATCTTTATACTTTAAAAGAAAAAAGAAACCAAAACAGTATTTACTGAAAGTTCTTGGCTGAGATTTAACATGTACCTAAGATTCTAGATAAAAGTACACTGTTCTGTTGGATGGCACATTTTCTTCTCCATCTGATCTAGGGCTTTTCTCCCAAAGTGAGGCTCCTTAACTTTTATGTAAACACGATTCCCAAAGTGCCAGAATTTTTCTTTAACAAGGTGGCTGATTTCACTTATCACATCTAAGTAAATGTAGTTGGAGCTGGTTTTTTTATAGTAGTGATGATAGGTTATAGTGAGTCACTCGGACTACAACCCTTGTGACTAATGGCATGTACTATGAGGTAATGGGTCAGAATTTAGGCTCCAGGCTGTGGTTGAAGAGCTACTTTTTTGTAAGACAATGTTAACCATTACTGGAATTCTACCCTGCAACTTGGCACCACCATGCAATTCAAGGTTTCTCAACATTTACAGACAATGGCATGCCCTCAAACTTGCAGAGTGAGAGACATTAAGGAAGAATTGCAGTTGCTGGGGGGTTCTCCCCTTGGTCATTATCCATGGACTTTTTCAGGTGCTGATACATAAATGGAGTTTTGAAGAATATGAAATTAGGCCAGTAAGGTGGGAGAAGGGAGTTCCTTGGAGAGGGAAAAAAACTTCCAAAGATATCAAAAGGGAATAGGAAAAGGAATCAGTCAGAGGACTGTAAGCAGTTTGCTGTGGCTGCAGGGGGTGGGATGTATCAAGGGTGGCAAAAAAGAGAATCTGAGTTTTGATGAAAAAAAAAGCACTTACATGCAATTCTAAGATATTAGACTGTATATTGAAGGCAGTGGAGAATCACAGAAAGATCTGAAGTAAGAATGTATTTGAACAGATTCACTAAAGCTTTAGTGACAGATTGAAAGAGAATAAGAAAACAAATCAGGAGCTAGTATAATAATGCAGGTGAGAAATGAAGAGGGCTTGAACTCAACAGCAATGACGTGGAGACATGCAGCCAGATGTGAGAGATATTAAAAATGAGAAATCACAGTGACTGACATTAGTAAGGGGTAGGGAAGACGGCAGAGTCAAGGATGATTTTCAAATTGCTGGTGTGGGTACCTAGTTGAAGCAAAGGATTATGAAGCAGGTTTAGGCTGGACAGAGGATGAAATGAAGCCAGTAGCGGGTACAGAGATGGGATATCTACATATGCTGATGAGGACTGTTAGTTTTTCATTTATTACTGTAAAGGAGTGCAGAGAGCATTAAGAGTCAGGAAAAAGAACTAATAAAACTTAGCTAAACCTTAACAGCAGACCATTCCGGAATAGTAAGAGATTCAATGTCTAAACTTAGAGAGAGACCAGATCAAAGGAAGAGAGAGCGAGAGGCCAGCCAAGGGCTATTTGAATCCTAGTTTACTAAATCCCCATGGTTTACAACCCTGATATCCACCCTGGCAGGGCCCTTGCTTATTTTTATACTGCTTCTCACTTTAGGTCCCTGTATCTTAAACCGGCTAATAGCCTTTGTTAGGGAAAGAGTGAGTGCTGTTCAGGTGCTAATGCTGAGACCGCAGTATCATTCACTCACACAGCAGGAAGAAACAAACATTCCATGATTGGAATGGTCAAAGGAAAGTGGGGAAATGTAGAATCTAAGCATTAGTAAGATTAGTAAATTAGCATAAGCATAGCCATCTTAGAAACCTAGAAACCATTTTCTGAGAGTGTGACTCAGAGGAAAAAAAAAAAAAAAAAAAAAACAAACCCTGGGCCTGGGTAAGGCCTTGAAAAACAAGTTAATCATGAGCACCGGGTGGTGGGCAGCTGTGACCCTTGGTCAGCTAACCTTGGTCAGTAAATCTTACATACCAAGCTTATCGTGCAGAACCTCCCTAACCATTGAGGAGTAGTCTTACCCTGCCCTTGCTTAACCCCAGGATATATGTCTTGCAAGAATAATGTATAGTTATAGAAAATTGCTATGAGTTAAGTGCTTTGAAATTGCTATATAAACCCTTGGCTCTGAGTGCTCGGGGTCCTTGTTGAGACCCGCTGCATCGGGCTGACTTGGACCCCAGCTAGCTGGCTGAATAAAGACTTTGCTTGAATTTACATCTCTATGCCTGTGTAGTTTGTTCTCTGGGGAAGCCTTGGAAGCCTGGACCCTAACAATTACATTTAATTGAGAGAGAAAAATCCTAATTTTAAAGGTCATTTTAGCTCTCTGTTATTATAGAAGGTCTACTGTGTATTTCCAGAAGCAAAAAAGAGGTCATGGTCAAGGTTAATTATATTTATAATATATATCCCAATGAGTACTGAAATAGATTAGACCGATATGTTCAATTTACATTAAAATATATGTTGTAATCCATCTATTTGTAAAGTTTGTGTCAAAAACAATTTCTAAAACAAATGGCCAATATCCTGGAGAAGCTTTAGTCCAAATTACCAATCTATGTCATTGTACTTGAGCTATTTGCTACTTGGATACATACTAAATATAGATTTATGTTGGAAATCTATTATTTCAGACTTAAAAAAAATCTTAAATTTCACATCTTGGAAGATAAAATATGAGAAAAAGATTGTTTTATGGTGTTTTACCTCCAATATGCAAACACTTCTTGAAGGACTGAGAGCCAAGAAAAAGTCCAAAGTATACTGCTTGCATAGTGTGAATGCCTAGATAACACAGCTAAATACACTGGAGTGATGAAAATCCCAAATGAGAAAGACTCTTTACAAATATCCAAATAATTATAAAACTGATTAGCTCTAAATAATCCATTAAGATGTATCTTATCCAGGATAAGCTATGTAAACAGGTTTGCTTGGACGGAGTAACTTATAATCAGATTTCTGAGCCACAGTTTTTTAACATTTTCAAAAAATATTTTATAAAACTCACATAAACAGGTATCTAATTTCATAATAACCATTAATGTGGACTTTGAGTGGCTTCACCTTATTTTTTTCTCCATCTGACTCAATTTAGATCATGCTATATTTCCTAAACAAGGTCTTGAACAAAAATCTGATAATTAAAAAAAAAAGAAAAAGAAAAAGGTAGCATGGGAAGAAACCACTGCTTCTTGTGGACACTACTGCCATGCAACAAAACTGTCATCAAATTCCATCTCTTTTGGATATATAGATTCATCACTGATCTATTGAAACTGTTCTTAAAATGTATAAAGTCTGGTTTTTCTAAATCCTAAAATAGCATAGGATAGGTTTTTCATTTTTGTAACACAGCAGAGACACTATTTTGAAGGTGGTTTTCTCAACTTTAAAACATTGTACCAAAGAAAAAATAAAGACCTTGATATACTTTGATAAATTTGATAAATTCAACAGCTTGGCAGTAATATTATCAAATCAGGAGAATTACTTACTCAAGAAGATCTGGGTTTAATCCTTCCGATATCATTTTGTTTCTTATTGCCATCACTGGAACACCCTAAGCAAAAGACAGAAGACAACTGATTGTTAAAAATGTCTCCTTCGTAAAAACCAAACCAAAAAGTAGGCCAACAAAACAGAATCAAAAGCCCAGAAATAAACCCAAGCATACATGGTCAACTAATATTTGACAAGAGAGCCAAGAATACTCAGTGGAGAAAAGACAGTCTCTTCAATAAATGGTGCTGAAAATTGGACAGTCACATGAAAGAGAATGAAACTAGACCTCTCTCTTACACTGCTCACCAAAACTAAGTTAAAATGGATTCAAGACTTCAACTTAAGACCTGAACCATGAAACTCACAGAAGAAAACAGGAAAAAAATTCCTTGATGTGGGTCTTGATAATGACTTTATGGAAATCACACCTAAAGTACAAGCAACAAAATAAAAAACAAGGGGGACAACAACAAACTATAAAGCTTCTGTACAGCAAAAGAAATCATCAATAAAGTGAAAAGATGACCTATGGAGTAGGAAAACAACATTTGCATACCATATATTTGATAAAGCGTTATATCAACAATATGCAAAGAATTCATACAACTCAATAGCAAAAAATAAATAACCCCATTAAAAAATGGGCAATGGACCTGAGTAGACACTTTTTCCAAAGAAGATACATGAATGGCCAATAGGTACATGAAAAGATGGTAGTCATCAGGGAAATGCAAATTAAAACCACAATGAGGTATCAACTCATGTTTATTAGAATGGCCATCATCAAAAAGACAAGAGAAACAAATGCTAGCATGGATGTGGAGAAAAGGGAACCCTTAAGCACTGTTTGCAGGATTGCAAATTGGTACAGCCATTACAGAAAACAGTATAAAGGTTCCTCAAAAAATTAAAAATAGAACTACCTTATAACCAGCAATTCCACTTTGGGGAATATATCCAAAGGAAACAAATACACTAACTTGAAAAATATCTGCACCCCCATGTTCATAGCAGCATTATTTTCAATACCCAAAACACAGAAACAACCCAAGTATCCATCGATGGATAAATGGATAAAGAAGTTGTAGAATATATATAAAAAAGAATATTATTCAGCCATAAAAATGAGGAAATCCTCCCATTTATGTGAACATGGATGGACCTTGAAGGCATTATACTAAGTGCAATGAGTTAGACAAAGACACATACTGTATGATGTCACTTATATGTAGGATCTAAAACAAACAAATCACCAAACCCATAGAAAAAGAGATCAGATTGGTGGTTCCCAGAGAAGACAGTAGAGAATTAGAGGAAGCTTGTCAAAGGGTACAAACTTCCAGTTATAATGTAAGTGAGTACTGCAGGTATAATGTACAGTATGATGAGCATAGTGAACACTGCTGTATGATATACAGGAAAGTCATTAAGAGTGTAGATTACTAGAGTTCTCATTACAAGGAGAATTTTTTTTTCCTTATTATTGGTGGGTGAGAGGAGGAAAAAAAAGTATGAGATGGTATGTATTAACTAAATCTTTGTAGTAATCCTTTCAAATATATGTAAATCAAATCATCATGCTGTGTACCTTAAAGTTACACAATGGTATGCCAATTATTTATCAATAAAATGAAAAAAAATTAAAAAGAAACAGAAGCTAGGAAAAACCTCCTTTATATATCACCACATACCACCTAAAACAAGACCTTTTAGATAGCTCATTATCATTATTTAAAATAGCTCTTATTTTGCTTTTATATTTTTATGTGCATAGTACTTGAATAATCTAATAAGGTATAATTTTAACTGACTTAATGGAGTAAATGCTATCCAATACACATAAGCCCACATTAAATCCCTGAAGCTTATCCATTACTAATTCTGCTATATAGAAGCCAGATATCATATTCTCAACTCTCCTTTTATCACCAAAGAAAGAAAAGTTTGATAACTCAAATGATTAAAGCCTTGGCTGGGATGGTACAATTGGATACTAAACAAAAAGAATACATGTCTTTTCAAATAAAGATTTCATAGCTTTCTACTCTCAAGTATAGCTATGTTAATGGTTATTTTTGTAAGCAAATGGTCCAATTTTACTTGGATACATTATGCACAAAGGTCAAACAGAATTCAAGAACTCTCCTGTGACTATATTATACCTCTTCTCTATACCAATACAAACACTAAGTAATGATAATCATAAAAGTGTGTAAGTCCTGCTACATGACCTTATTTATAGTCCCAAGTTGTATGTCCAGCCATAGGAAAAGCATGCTAGAAAAAGAAACCTTCCAAAACAAAAACAAAACAAAACAAAAAAAGTGTGTAAGTCAAAAAAACATTGGGAACATGTGAATTTCAAAGTTCAGGATAAGAACATCAAAACAGTTAAGAAAAGGGTATGTCAGAATTAAATACAAATTTACTTGAAAAGGGGACTGATTTGATGGATAAATATTTTTTGAAAGCTCACTTATTATTGGTGGGTGATTCTAAGGCAAGAAGTGATCAAGTCTCTGTCAACTACTCCTTTTCATACCATCTCAAAAGGTGAGGAAACATGGTTGTCATGTGTTAAATGTGAGGACCTTGGTTACATCATCTTCAAATAAGTGGGTGACTGTGCTTAAAAGGTTGTACACATAGTTGGGACGCTCTCCCTCATATCTCTTCATTCCAGGTGGCAGAAGGGATAAGCTAGACAGGAGCCACATGGAAAACAGCACAATCATCTCTCTTTTACTGTTGTATACTCTTCCCTTCAGCCCTCCGACGTCACTAGCCAGCTGTGACATTCAATTTTGAACCTAAGATACAGAAGAAGCCCTGTAGGAGCACTGATGTCCCAATTCAATTACTTAAGAGCCCCACCCTGAGGTTTCCAGGCACCAAACCAGTAAGGGTTCCCATTTTCTTTTGCAGTCATCCCTTAGGGTCTTCTGGTTTCAGATAGGAGTAAATTTACTGAGTTAGTGGTAGAATTCTGATCTCATGATTCGATACCTTAGTGTTTAACATCACTATGGTAGCATGGTGCCTTATGCTGAGAAAAGATAATCTGCCCATCCTCAGGGAGTGCAGTCTAATAGACATGCTAGACAGATGATCACAGTATAATCATGAAATTGGTAACCCAGGCCTAAATAACGGGCAATGTTAGACCCAAGGAAAGGTGGGCTGAGTTCAGGACCAGCAAAGCATTCACAGGGATGAGTCCTGAAGATGAGATAGGAGTTTATTTAAAATGAAAAACACAAAGACTTGGAATGTACAAAATCTTTACATAATCTACCATACATAAATTGTCACAAACTTTTTTTTAAGAACAAATATTTACTTATCCAGCTACTTCCCTCCCCAAAGTGCTGATTTTATTTTACATTTCACCCAATAAAGTATACATTTAAGTCCAGGTATGCATATGAAAAATATGAGTGTCAAATGGATTATAAATTACATAATGAAGAATCTTCAAAATTAATGACCATAAGTCTATAACAGAAATGTTACATATCTTGACAAATTAAGTACAGGTAATTATTAAGTATAATTCCCATTTTAAAATTCAGAAAATATAGTACAATTTTAACTTTTATTTATTTTTTAGAAATTTCCAGAAAAAAAGTCACACAGAGTCATAAAATGCCTTCAACAACCACAATTTCTTATTGTGGCCATGGAGGAGGAGAAGTCCAGCTTCTCTACAGCTTGCTAAATTAGAGACTGGGAAAGCAAAGGCTTTCTTTCAAATCTACAGACTACCAGGAAGTAACCTGCCATTTACAGATACATTTGTAAATTCATTTTCACAATTTTAATATTTTATATGGTAACTTAGTAAAATATCAATTCTTAAGACTCATATCGCAATGGACACTAAATACATCCTAAATATTAGATGGATTAGAATAGCACCATTTATAGAATGATTCCAGGGACAATCTTTAAGGTATTGTTAAAAGTGAAATATGGGGGGTTTGGAAGACAAAGAAGGTAGAAGATAAATACTTCAGGCCTTTTGTTAGCTTATGAAATTTAAGGATAAATGAAAGGGGAAAAAAAGCAGTTACTTGCGTAAGTAGGAGCTTCCAATGTGAACAGACTCTTCCATTTGGAATAAAGTGAGCATGAGATTAAAAGTTGCACCACTTTAAAAATATATTACTTGAAACTAAGACTTGACAGAGAGAGGTGTTTAAAAAAGAGGTACTTAGTAATTATTTCTTAACACAAGTTATTTACTTTTAATACAGGAGAAAGCTGACTGCTTAAAAATGACAAAAGTTGGGAATTTTACTTGATAATTTAATGCCTCTCAACTATTTAGTATAATAAGGAAAGTTAGGAGTTTAAACCATTTCACTAAAAAAAAACACTTAAGAAAAATTGGGGAAAGGAGCAGAATTAACATCATACTTCTTTAAAAAGAACTCTCAGTTTCTATTAACTATGGTTTTATAGTATAAGGTCTACAAACTCAGTTACGTTATTTATTTATTATACGTTAGCATAATCCCAGGATATCATTAGAAAGGTTATACAAATAAGTTACAAAGTCGAGAAAACAGAAGGGAGGAAAAATGAGGTAGAAAAGAAAGTTTCCTGAAATACAGCAAAGAAAGTGTGTATTGGGCAGAGCCAGTCAGTAGGAAGAGGGATAGGGACAAGGAAGTTGGTGGAATTAGATAAACTCCCTATTTGAACACTAGTTTCATGGGACTGGTTATAAGACAATAATAACAGAAGCCTGAATCTAAAGTTCCACATTTTACCTTTGGTTTCTTGAAGCTGGTTACAGCATAAGAATATTACCAAAATTTGGTATGTCTTAGTCATTTTTGTCATCTATGGATACAGATAAAGGAAAATAAATACAATATTTTCCATATTAGAGACTTTACTATAATCACATATTAATACAAATCTCATAAAGCTTGATACAAAAATAATTTGGTCTCTGTTCCAAGGGATGCATTCCAAAGGGATTTGCTGCTGCTATTTGTTTTCCAGTGATGTTGCTTAGAAAATCTGTTGTTTTGCCATATTCTTCCTTAG